TCCCTGGGCAACCTGTTCCAGTGTCTGACCTGGAATGTTGCATATATCCTTACTAGGAACACCAAGGCATTTTGGTGTGATCATTAATGGTTCTGCATGAAGTTAATCATGCAATGCTGATCTGGTTTTTGGGAAGCACCTTCCCTTACTGACCAGCAGACTGAGGCAGCCATTGCTTGGAAGAACGTTGTTGTTGAACTCTTCTTATCCCTGCTGCAGAGGCCAATAAATGGAACACCTAAAAGAGTAAAATTGGTACTTTCTTTGTATAGGGAAATGAAGTTACCTAGGAAGGTCAGAAAAATTCTCTTCAAGGAAGCAGGGATGGATGAATGGATGTTACCAGGCATTTCTTCCACTGTTAAGGCTAAGAGGCTGCTGCTGGGAAATGTAATACCTTTGCAAAGCGTAGTAACTATTGCTTTTGGCCATGTTTGTTCTTGCCGTTTTATTCCACCTCCCTGTTTCAGCACCTTATAAGCAAAACACTTCTAGCAAAGCTGACAGGGATTCATATACTGCAGCACACACACGTTTACCACTGTTGCAGCTGTAAATTGAAGCATAACCTCACTCAATAGTTCCTGCTTTTATGTATCAGGAGTACCAGCTAGCTGAGTCACCACAAAAAACTCTACTCCTTCCTAGGATAGAATAAAATGTACTCTGAGAACAAAAAATCAGTTGTCCCGGGGCAAATATGCTTTAATGTCTATCTGTTTTCTCTCTCCCTCTCTATTTTTCTCTCTCTTTCCTCTAACTAGCTGTTTATGAAAGACTTGATTGGTTGTTGTTTTTAAAAAAATAATGACTCAAAGCATTCTTTTTTTCTGGAGGAATTTTTTTTTTTACTATATCACCTCAGAGGCCCTTCTGCCTGGTGAAATTTGTAAAATATTGAACAATTTACAGTGGTTAGGCAGTGCAGCGTTTTCATGCGGTAGCTCTGCTGTGCAGGGCTTGTTCCAAGGGTATTTTCTATGTCAACCTTCCCAATCATTAGGGAAAAAAAAATCTGAAAGGGAACTAGTTAGCTTCTTCTAGAAGGGACCTAAGGGGCAAACTGGCATGTGTGCAGTGTGGACTGGTGCTTGGGATAAACGGAGTGAGAAATATAAGCATGTGACGATTTTTAATCCAAAAGCAATGTAGACTTTTGTACACTTCAAATAAATCATATTAACAATTAAAAAATAAAAAGTTCAGAAATGCTGATAGAGTACCTGGTAAGGTATTTTATAAATTTGAAGACGATGAAAATTAATTAGTCTGAAATCCTGATCTTGATGAAACAATACCTTGAATTTCTTTACCACAGGCACAGATGGTGTCTTTCTTGTATTGCCAGATTTTTCCTCCTCTTCCCACATCCACAAAATCTGTCTTTAACTTTTCAGCCTTAAATCATGCTACTTTGGATTTATCACCAGATGTGATTTAGAACCTGAGCTCTATTCTTTCCAAAACTCCAAACCTGAAGAAAAAGGTCCTGAATCATTGATTCTGATAGAGGTCTAATGTTGTTTCAAGTACACGCTCTGATTCATGCCACAGCAGAGAACATCCCTAGGATTTTTAGAAATTACCAATCATTGAATTACCAATGCAAAACTGAGATTTTTGTTGTTGTTGTTAGAATGTTTGATGTTTTGACAATAGTAAATTAAATTTCTGGTTGAAACACACTAATGAGATGGCATGTATCTCATATTTAGAACCTGTCTTGCAGCATCTCTCCCCATGTCTGCCTAGTCCTACTGTTCATTCAATAGTAGTCAGCACTGGATGCCTCAGAATGTCTCATTTTAATCTTGAAGTATTTCCTTACTGCATTTTATGTTTGCAGCCATTTGTTCTTCAAATTTGACTCAATCCTATGTGATTTCTTTACTGTATGTGCCCAGAAGCCCCAGACTCAACTTTTCCTCTGCATTTCCTACGCAAGAGCGACATCCTTGCTCAGATCTCAAGCTGCTTGCACAGGCTTTCCGTTCATCCACTGGTCAGGAAGGTAACATCAGGGGCAACACTTGGAAGAAGGCTTTTCAAGTGAATACCTACCAAATTTTTTACATTCTTATGCTAGCAATGGCATTATTTTTCACTTTTTGAAGTCCTTTTTAAGATTGCCTTTCCATTGTCTCCTCCCTTTCCCACATTCCCCATTAGATTGGAACTGCAGCACTTCTGGAAATGTAAATTTACCATAATTAGAATTATATTATATTCTTTCCTATTGCTTTTAAGCACTGTTGTTTACAATGCCTTGTAAATCCATCTGACAGCCAGTTATGTCTATTAGAGCTCCAGTTCTCACCGTCCACACTTACCTATCTTACAGCTACTCAGTATTATCTGTCTAGCTGTCTTTCTGTCACTTCTTTATCTTTGAGTCTGCTGGAAGGTCTGCTGCCTGATAGATGTCAAGTTGAAATAACTAAAGGATGTAGCTAAGAGACAGAAGTGAGCTGTCATTAGGGCTTCCAGCCCTTTTATACCAAATACACAACCTTTTAAAAGATTTGGGAGAAATTTGCTCAAAGAAAGGAGAACAGAGCTGGAAGATTTTCTCTTATCTTTCATCCTTTTGCACTGTGACTAGAACACCTGCACTATTTCTCCCAGTCTGCCCAGTGAGGAAGTGAAAAAGCCTCAGGATATTTCCCTTCAGCCCAGAAAGGAGTGAAGGTGCAGCTCCTTCTCCACGCACGTGGGTGAAGAACCCAAAGAGGAGCTGAGAGAGGGTGTGGATGTGAAGGATGGTGGGGATACAACTGACACCAGCTGGATGCAGAAGGGATTTCTGGGCATAGTGTTAAGTAAGGAAGCTGGAATGATGCAGTTAAACACTTTAAATGTCATTTTGGGCATATAACCTGAGTTAAGCATGAAGAATAACTGGAGTGAAGAGTTTATCTGGATAATATGCTTCTAGATACATGTATGATACACGCTACAGTTTTAAAGTCAAATCATCACTTTGACTAATCACAGTAGTTGCAGCTACAGTGTGTTTGAAGAGTTTTGACACCCAAACATTATAGTATATTGTCTAATCATCTGCTGAGATGAGTAATAAATCCTTCCTCTTCCTTGGCTTATGCTACTCATTTTTTAAAGTATATTTTTGTCAAAATGAACTTACTAAGCAGATGGGCAGAAAGAATGAGACATACTACCAGACAAAACAACCAGCCCAGATGGGTACTGGAGAGGTAGTAGGTTCCCTTATGAGTCTTAACACTGCTCGTGGTTTACATACTCCTGTTGCACCAGCACTTCCTCACCCCCTTGCCTATCAACTTAAACTGTCTAATGGAGGGTGGTCCCATACAGCCACATTCATCACTGTGATCACAGAACTACTAACCATCCCTGCACTGGATGGATTTGGGTGGTGCGTACTCAGCAGGTATGACACCATGCACTGGACAGTGTAGAGAAAACAAAATACTGATTTTAGCTGTATGAATGCTGGTCATGTTGTCAAACAAATTAGATTCTGGAAAAAATGCTATTTACTTCTGTGTTTAAACGCAGCATTCTAATATATACACACAAAGAGATTAAATAAGGTTGCAGGAACTTGCTTGTCTTTGCAACGTATCATAATTGTTTTTTAAACTGAGTTTTTCTGTCTGGCATTATCAAGAATAGTCCTGAAGAGAAACATAGGGTCATATACCAATATGCATGGCTGATGGAGAGGAAAAATGAGGGAAGAAAGAGCAGGAAATGACAAAAAAGATTCAAGAACATGAACAACAGAAACAATACATGTTAAAACTTTATTATTTACAACTTGAACTTTGCCTTAAGAGAAAGCTGGATAAATGAGGAAAGAACAGAGAGATTGGGGGACATGCTGAATTTAATTTAGAATGGCAAAGTGCTGCAGAAATTTTAATTATTAAGTGTCCCTGTCTTCTCACTACCTAGATAGTGTTTTATGGAACTTTTTACCTGCATGTGAGGAGTCTGTGTATGCACATACACATCTGCTTATATATGCGTTACTCACTGCACTGTGCCTTTATTGATTTCTAGAAGGAACATGTCAAGCAAAAATAAGTATTTCCATCATTTGTCCTTACCTGCTTTTCTGTCAGTTTTTAAAAAATCTCCATTTTCCAATTATGCTTGTCTGTCATTTGACATTTTTATCTGACAAGTAAATTAAAGTCATCAGGAAGTTTCAGGCTTGAAAGCCCCTTATAGTGATTTGGCTACTTGAAAAAAAATCCTAATATATTAGACTCTGGCACCTCTGCCAACACAGTCAAATACAAACAAGAAAAACAGAATGATCATTTTTTAAGTACATACATTCTCAGCTAAAAATCGTATTCCTTAGAGGTGAAAAGAACTAAGTCAGTCTGGAATTAAACTGTTATTAAACTGATAGATTGAATTCTAGTTTAGCTAAAACACCAAGAACTAGCAGCTCCATTCAGCAGAAATAATCCAGGACACGTGCAGAGTGCTTCTTTGGACCGTGGAATCAGTCCCTATGTTTGCAGCTTTAATTCTCATGAATAAAAGTCCTGGGTTGTCTCTTTGGCAATGAATGTCTGTCAAAGAAAAACCACAGCTAATTTATCTTAGCCCATGGTTTGCTTTTCTCCTGCTGAATTTCTTCCTATTAAAAAAAAAAAAAAGAAAAAAGAGGGCTGCAGTTTGTCCTCTTTCTTCCATTGTAGAGATGGGCAAGACAGACATATCTAAAACCTCCTCCTCCATTTCCATTTCAAACTGTGCCGTAATGATCTTTGCAACATTTAGCATAACCCCTGCTAGCCTGAAAATAGCATTCAGCATTTCATCTGGAGAGCCTGTTATTATTTGCATTGTTACTTGTGTGGCATGACATTTGTTATGTTGTATTTTTCCAACTAAATCTGACCCTGTGGAACATAACACTGTGCAGAGCTAGAATCCACTCCCATAATATCACTAGATACCATTTTGGAGATTAGCTATTCAGTAAGTATTTGCTACATCGTTTTTTGGAAGATGTATATATTTAACTTGTCTGTGGAGAGCTTATGGCCACAGATACTGAATGCCTTATAATTGACTGCCTGTGCATATCTCCATTAAATTATATGGACAGAAACCTAATGACAGAAATTTAATAAGTTGTTTTTGCTGAAAATTTGACATAAACTACTATTGTTCCTATTTGTTTTACTGCTTTTACAAAGCCAGTTTACACTGCTAATTTTTAAACCACTCACAAATATTATTTCCAAGCCAAGTGTTTTTCTTGCAAAAAGCATTTTATGAGGCTTTGGGCAGCAATGTGTGCATTGTGTTGGGCTTCAGCAACTGCAAAGTGAGAGAATGTAGCCTGCTGAGCTTTCTCTTTACAGCAACCCAGGTGATTTCCCTAGGCTTTAATCATCTGGTGCCTGAAGAAAGCTGAAGATTTTGCTTATATAACAGTGTGCAAGTTTACAAAAATCAAAGTTGCTTTCCTGATAAATCTTTATTTATTTATTTATTTTCTATGTTTACTACTGTTGTCAGAGGTCATTGAATAGAGTTATTTATTCCCCTTTCAGAACAATGTTATGTTTCTTATGGAAACAGGTAGTAAGAATTAGGTAAATGTCGTGTAGTGACAATGTTCAAGTGTAACTGAGTTTAAGAAGTAAAACTTTGGAGTTACAAGGCAGGAGACAGAGAAAAAAATGTAGCCTGATATTTTTTCTGCTCATGTAGTACTTGGACAGTGAGGACCAACCAAACTGTAAGTAGGGACTTTGTCAGTGTAAAGATTTAGTATTATACAGAATAAATTAATAAAAAGAACAAGTGCCTAGAGAGCAGATGATTTCAGGTGATCTTTTTTAACTCTTAAATCTCCTACCAAAAGCAGAGAGAAAAACGTGAGGCATAAGAAAATAGATATTTTCTTTTTCAACTACAGTGTTACCAATTACCTGAGCATGGAATAGGTAAAACTTTATACATTTTGTGACAAGTAAAATAAATACCAGACATACAGAAGAGTTTGTGAGGCTACACATTAAATGTGCTTTTTCTGCTTTGCTTTCTCCTGAATTCCGTTTACTGTCTCTTACATACACAGCACTGCTGCTGACTTCACTGGGACAGCTGGGTGGGAGAAGTTCTGAATTAGATGCAGGATTAAGCTAAATAAAGCTAAAGGAAAAATATATTCTAATTTTTTGTCCAAAATCCTGACATATTCAAACTTTAGTAAATTACAAGTGTCTGATAATGCCAGCTCCTCATTTTAAAAACTTGTAAATATCTTCTTCCCTTCATCATAGTTGGGATGTGGATTATGGTTTTTATCTTCACAGGCGCATTCTCATCTAATGTCCTTGGTAAGCACCAAGGAAACTATTACAGAGTCATTGCAACATTTGACCAGTGAAATGTTATCACCCATTCTGCAAGAACTGTTGGTGATGGAGCTTTAACCTCTTTCCTTTGTGCTTCTCTTTCAGCTTCTGATATGGCTGCAGAGCAGGGACAGATTCTTGTAATTGCCACTGCTGCTGTTGGTGGATTCACTCTCCTGGTCATCCTCACTTTGTTCTTCCTAATAACCGGGAGGTAATTAACACTACAGTGTTCTTATTTACTCAAAGTCACCCAAAACTAAGAAATTAAGAATAATAGTTAAGTAATTCACCATATTTTCAGTGCTAAAATAAGGGTTAAACATAGCAGGTGAATGTCCTCTTTGTTCAGCACTGCTTATGCTCACATTTCCATTGGGAGTGTTGTTTTTTGTGAAAACCCATTTTGGGGAGCTAAGCAATTATGTGAAATCAGGAAATAGCTTGGCTGTTTTTAAAACAAGTTTCTGGACCTCTTCCCTGCAGAGCAAGAATTTAAAAATACAATGTACCTGCACCCTCAAGGCCCTGACATTACAATACAAAAAACCAAACCAAAACAAAAAACCCCACAGACTTTTTTACAAAATCTCGTAACTGTCAATTGCAAAGATTTGGAGGGTGTAACCTTAGGATGTTTGATGTCTTGGGGTTGGCAATGTAGTTTGCCAAAGGCACTGGTGTGGACAGTATTTTTATTACTTTTGCTATATTAAATTTCTAGGAAAAATAATACACAATTATGTATATGTTTTATGTGCACATTTCTCCATCTAGTAAGAGAAAATACAAGAATTATGTAATAAAATTAAATTAAGGAAAACTTTATTCCAAAATACTAGAATGATTCTACTGCCTGTGTTAGTACTGGTAAACAAAATACAGCTTCCTGAAGGTCCCAGTTGATTGGGTTTTGGCTTTTTGAATTGGATTGAAGATATCCCAGTTAAATCTACATTACAGCAGTACTGTTGCACTAACAGGGGAATTCACCCGTCTGGACAATGATTATTTTTTCTAACTACCCTGATTCTTATACTTAGAATTCTTTTAGTACAATTCTGATTGTCCACCTTCCTACAGTTGATGTGATGATCAGGATCAAATAATGACATTATGCAAATTGGATGAGAAAGCATTTTGATTTGAGTGGCCAGATGCCATGCTCAATTACACACTGAAGGTTTTACTCACAAATTCTAATTGAACTTGCTAAAAAACACTCATAGAGGTTGGAACATCAGTCCTTGCTGAAGCGCAGATTCCCACAGGTGTACTTCTTTCCATGGTGCCTTGTTTCCTTTTTCACTCAGCCTCTAAGAGTTTCCTGTGTGATTCAGTCCTGCAGTAAGCTCTGTGGCAGGGCTTGTGTGGGCTCTGGCCCCTTTCTACCCTTTTTACCTCTCCCTCCTTTAGACATGTAAAACAGCTGGCAGAAGAACTTCCATGTGAGGTGGATTCTTTATGGAGTTTCCTTCTTACCTGTCTTGGAGACAGAAAATATCAAGAGTTGAGACAGGATTCTGCACTGTTCATGTCCTGGTTTAGAGCCTGTGTTTGCATGTGGCGTAAAGATGTTACACGGACTCCTCTGAATGTGATAACGGTCATCACAGATGGGGCTCATATCCATAGATGGTGCTGCATTTTCAGATCTGTAATTAAGTTTCTGTTTGGTTGGTATAGCATTACCTCTAATTTGAAAATAAAGTTAAGTCCTATCAGTGTAGGCCAAAGGTTTTATTTGCAGTACCCCAGCAACCAAATACGGCACTACAGTAGCTACCATTATGTGAGTCAGTGCTCTCTCTCTGCTAAATAATAAAACCAGTTAAGTCCAACATTCTGTTGAAGTTAATGGGAGCAGTTAACATTAGAACGTATTGTGACCTTATATAATCTTAGAAGCTACATAAATATTCCTATAATTGCTACAAACACTGACAAACAAGTGGGATCTTTCAGAAGTAAGAGGAATTATTCAAAGAAAGACAAACTTTTGGAGAAACTGATTGTGTGGAATCCTTACGTGGAGACCTCATTAATATTTATAAATATATTAAGGGCGAATGTCATGAGGATGGAGCCAGGCTCTTCTCAGTGATGCCCAATGATAGGACAAGGGGCAATGGGTGTGAGCTGGAACACAGGAGGTTCTGCTTAAATTTCAGAAGGAACTTCTTTACAGTGAGGGTGACGGAGCCCTGGGACAGGCTGCCCAGGGAGGGTGTGGAGTCTCCTTCTCTGGAGGCATTCAAGCCCTGCCCGGACACCTTCCTGTGTGATCTCATTTAGGTTCCTGCTCTGGCAGGGGGATTGGACTGGATGATCTTCCGAGGTCCCTTCCAATCCCTGACATTCTGTGATTCTGTGATTCTGTAACTGAAACGCTTCCTTTAGAAAAAACACTCTAAACTCAGGAATGAAAAAAAAAATACAGAGATGGATTTCTTTCTGTGTTTATTCCTCCTGGTAAAAATATCAGTGATTCTCTTAGCTTTCTAACATCTTACTCAATGGAACCATTTCAATTATGTAAGGTATGAATTAATTTTGAAGTGATACTTAAATGCAGTGATAAGAGTGTATTCCACAGAAGACGGAGCAAGAAAATTTTGAATAAATACTCAATTTACTCTAGGACTGGAGGCAAATTTCTGCATGAAAAATGGGATTGGTCCCCTACAATGTGCTCTGCTTCACTGTTTAGAATTAGCAATTTGATGAGCTGTCAAGTCACAGGGCTTCTGATGAGTCTATTCATGGTGGAGAGGTTGGGTTAAATCAGCACCTGCCTCTGCACTTTGCTGAGTGATTATCCACCAAGAGCAAGCAGGAAGCACGGCTGTCAATTGCAGATAGAAAAGTGAAAGCGATGGAGACTTCGAGCACAGGATATGCAGTGAGACAAGGGGTCTTGGCTAAATTCCAGGAAATGGGATGTTGAAGCCCAGTGTGATTTATTCTTATCATTACAGAAATTATTCCTCTCCCCTTGTTCTGTAGCCAACGCTAACAGGGAATGGGGGGCTAGAGCTGGAAGACTCCTCTGCTGGTGATTACTCACTGGCTTCTGTAGTCAAACTGTGGGGCCACGTGCATACGTAGGAGGATTGGACAGGGTTAAAGCCCTGTTTCTTTGACTGTTCCCTTGGGCACTTTAAGTGTAAGAGGTTGTGTTCAGTGTTCTTGGCAGTTGGCCACCCTACAGACCAGTTATTCAGGTCCTAAAACTGGCACTGGCATTTTTAGTGGTCCTAGCAACTGGTGTATAATCTAAAGATTTCCACAGAAGCTGAGCAACACTAGTTGCTGTTTTCCCCCATAAGGGTACATAAGCATGACAGCTTCAGAAGCTTCTGTCCTTCAGGTGTTCGTCATCACCTCTGTATCAATGAATGAATTTCTGAGTGTTCCTCCTCTGTTTCAGTAGTTTAACTGAGCCATTGAAATGAGGTGGGTGTGTTCAGATATATCTCATATCTCCATTGTTCGTATTGTACTGGATAGACTATCTGTAATTATAGTCTGTTTTATTTGATAAGGCTGGTCGTGAACACACAGAGACTAGTAATTTTTTTCAAGCTAGTCTTGGAACTGAATGTCTCTTCACTCACCAAAGTACATGTCCACATGCACTACTGTTCTCCACTGGGGTCAGTGTCCCAACAGCCCTTAGACCAAAAGATTTCCCTCTAAGTCATATTTCTTCGGCTGTTCAGTGAGTGAGAAAGAACTTTAAGACCAAGAAGAAATAATTTGTAGGTAGGCAGCATTCAGGCTGGGGAAGATTTCATTGCAGGGAACCTGAAACTTTGTCATGTGGTGGTTTTCTCCAACATACCCTTGTGTTGTGAGGTGAGGTTGCTAACAGTTCGTGAATATCCACAGACTTTTGTATTGTTTGCCAAGGATTCACGATTTTATAGCAATCATACAGGCATGTGCTAAATCATCATATTCACATAGCAGACTATGTATTGTTTATCCTATATGATAGCTGCTATCTTAGAAGAAATAAATCAGTGCCTGCCTCAGACAGAACAGAACGACTCGGGGGAAAAACAAACAGTGGTCCTGATGTGAAAAAATACTTTCTTTTTTTCATGAAACATAGTGAAGTCGTAGAAACCATTATCTTATGGAGAAAATGTGAATTTTTTTGACCCACTGAATATGAAAGTTAATAGGATAAGGTTTAATTAACACAAACCAGTGTATGCAAACAATAATGCAGGGAACTAGTGTTTTATTAAAGTATCATGATTCTTTGGAGGAGTCAAACTTGGAAATAAAGTATTACATTAAACTTGAATTTAAGTAGTCATTTTCATATTATTTTTATTTATATCTAATCTGTTTGTTGTTCTTCATACATATTTCTGTCTGTAGATTCATAACTAAATATATATTCCAAATGCAAAGATTTTGGCTTTCATAAAAGTGCAGATAAAGCCTCCTGTAAATTTATTTTACAAGTATTTTAATTAAAACCTCACTTGTTTTTCTTAAAAGATGCCAGTGGTACATAAAGGCCAAAATGAAATCTGAAGAGAAAAGAAGAGCTCATTTGCAAAATGGAGATGGTAAGTATTTCAATACTGTGTTACATAATATCTATATCACATTTTAAATGAAGAACATTCCTTATTTTCTCTGCAGCGTTTGCCCTTGATGTTTTAATCTGGGTGTTTGAATAGTTCCTTACTCTCTGCATCATCCAGGGTGTTTACGTTTATTTGTATATCCTTTGAACACTTTCAATTAATTCAGTCTAGTTAATAAGTTTTTTGCATGTTCTATGAATAATATTTATCAGTTTTTCAGATATATTTCTTTGAATTCTCAACTAGTCTGGACCATATTGAATTTCTGCCTCAAAATTCCTTTCCTGGTGACTATGTGCCTTATATTTATCCAGTTCCCTTTGGCTTTAGGGATCTACACTTCCAGCCACCCAAGAAATAAAAACTGAAATGGGTTACCTTCCCTCATGTTCCTGTTCACTGATCAGTGCAGTGAGAGAAAATCCTAACAGTCTCTCATGGGCAGTATATTAGTTTATTTAGTTTAGTTTAACTACTTGGTTTCAATTACTAGCCTCTCTGTTTTATTTTAGAGTAGCTATTTAAAGTTTTTATTTATTCAAAAGGTATTATACAAAGGGTATTACATTTTAGTATTTTTCTGTAATTTTTAATAACATCCCTGGAAATACTGTGATGGAGACAGAAACTGAGTCACCAGAAATAAAATGTTTTTTCAGGTGATACAACTATATCCAGCCAAGTGGCTCTTTCTGTCAAGGAAAATGGCACATTTGCCCATTAAAGATACTTCCTAGGAAGATTTGTTTGTCATTTGTTTCTGAATATGGTCAGAAAGGAAAGAAGACAAAAACCTTCCTGCTGGAGAGTTTGATAGATGCCTCTGAGACCATGACTGAATTTGAAAAAAGCCTCACTCAGGGTCTTTCAGGCCAGAGTAAATGATGACTGTATTTCATGTTGACACAAAGCTTCATTGTTGCCAACAATACTCTTGTCTTCTACACTGACCACTCGGCATCTCTGTAAGGAGTACGTCCTTCATGCTAGTGGCAATCTTTGTCTGTCTGCTGACTGCCTATAGATTTGGCATCCAGCATCTCAACTTAAAACAATATAAAACATCTCCTGTTCATCCTTCCTCTCTCCCTTGGGAACTTGGTGTGGGTCAGAGGAAGATTTCAGGAAATAAACTCTTTGAAAGGAGTTAGAAAGGGGTCCATGATCTTGCTAATAATATGACATCCCATGATGTCTGGTGTCTTCCCCATTTCTGTATGGTGTGTATACTCTGTCGGCAGTGGTCCAGATGGTTGTTGCACACTATTTAATGAAGGCCAGCCACATCCATGTGTCCTGAACGTGGGTTCTTCACCTAATGCATCTCGGCTTATCAGGTACTGAACTGCTTTAGACTCAGCTACTAAATGATGAGAGGCAGAAGGTTGAGAGATACTTAATTCTTTTAAGCGACTCTCTGGACCCAGCTGCATTCTGGACCCTCCTCTTATCCTGATTAGTTGATGCATTATCTATATCAACTTCTCTTAATGAATTGAAAGTTTTCCAGAACTTAATCACCGCATGGCAGCAGCCTAAAAAAATTCCCATCCAGATAGTCCAAGAGAAACAACATGAGTTCTTGGACATGCCATACTCAAGAACACAAGAGGTTTTAGCCGTGCCAGAAAATGATGGCTTGCTGCAGCCTGCCAAAGCAATCTGGCACCACCCCACTATTGCCACGGCCATCTCCAGGGAAGCAAACAAATTATCGAAGCCTTGTAAATGGATTTGGATATTTTTGTTCTTGTCTTGCACCTGGCTATCTGGTTGTTCAAGCTGAACAGAAGATAACAAAGCAGCACAGTCCTCTAGGACCCATGCTCAGAGAAAAGGATCTCAAAGATTGGACCTGTTTGACACAAGGAATGCTCAGCCATTCACCTATAACTGAAAGGAGTGAATTAGAAAGCAGTGTTCTCAAACTAAAGGACAGATTGCTGAAATTGCCCAGCGAGCAGCAAAGGGAAATATAAACTGCTTTGGCAGTAGTCACTGTTAGTCTTCGGGATCTGCTTTTCCTCGTAACACTGAGCCCTCACTTGGTGTCTCTGTAGACACCCTTTCAAAAGTGACCAGCTCAGAGCTCATCTTTTCTCTTGTGACTTGCTGCATTTTCCAGATTTACCAGCTGTACTTGAAGCATTCCTTAAGGATGTGAGCTAAGTGCAGAGACTCCAAGGAGCCTCTTCAGAATAAAATACTAATTAGCATTTGGAAAGGAAATGCTTATATAATAAATAAATAAATTGAACATACTTTGTCTTACCCAAAGTAGCATTTTTCTTAAAACTTAGCTAGGGCTGTTATTTTTTCCTAAGAAGTTGTTTCCAAAAACTTTATTGTCCTCTTAATTTTCCTACCTGAAATGCTATACCTCAGGAGATGCTTGTATTCAGCTGGGACAGAGATGAAACAGCATGAGATTGACACTATCTTATCAGTTGAATACCAAAGACTGAGTTTTCTAAAGGCCTTTGAGTTTTTGTTCTGTGGGACAGGATAAACTCTGGGACCTGTGTAGCTAGCAAGCATGACAGTAACTGAAAGGATGTTTGATGCAGCAATGCACTGCAGCAATCCTAAAGAAGTGTCCATGCTTTCAGGCACCCAGAAATCTCTCAGGAGATTTATTTCAGATGGTTCTTTTGAATGCTTTTGCTAGCATTGGGTTGGCAGAGCCTTATCCTCTGTCTATGGAGTTGTAACACCCAGCTCTTTAATGTCTCTGAAGTCTAACCTAAAAAAGGATAAGGGCAAATGCTTAAGTCTGTGCCCAGTCAATCTTTGAAGGCCTTGGTGCTGCCAGCGCATGGGGATAACTGATGTGCATTCTACGGATGGTTTCTGTGAAATCAGTAGCAAGCATTAGTAGTTTTGGGTCATTATCCTCTTCCGTTGAGTTCTCAAACTTCAAATGTGGAAGATTTAGTATATTATTTCCTCTCCTTTCAATTGCCTTGTCAACAATTAAAAAAAAAAGGGGGGGGAGAAAACCATATTGTTACCGTGCGTGAATGTCAAAGAATGCTTGGTTGATAGTATTCTTTCTTTTTTGCAGTACGTTTCCCAGGAATCAAAACATACATTGATCCAGACACGTATGAAGACCCATCTCTTGCTGTCCATGAGTTTGCAAAGGAGATAGATCCTTCGAGAATTCGTATTGAGAGAGTTATTGGGGCAGGTAAAAGTACACTCACTTTAAAAAATGTCTAGGCATGGATAGGCTGCTTTTCTCTAGTCACTATGGTAATGCAAGTGGGCAAGTATAGTACAAAATGTGGGCATATTTCAGCTGCAGGTTCACCTCTTACATCCCTGTTTGTCTTCGTCCAAGTGTGTGATGGGGACAGAGAGGAATTACATCTGAACAATTGTTTTAGACCTTGTTCTCATCTCTGGGTTGTTTACCTTGAGTTGAGAACATCACATTGGGGATGTAGGCCACTTCACAGCTGTTTGAAAATAAGTTTCAGAAGCTCATTAATCCTGTATGTATATTGGCCTTTTTTTCTATGGGAGTTAACAGGCCCCTTGTGTTTTTGGGAGTCTCACCCTTTGCTAATGTGCTGTGTTTATAGGCATGTCTATTCTGTGCATTAATTGATATCCTCTTGTCTTAGCTTTGATTTAATTGTCAGGTTTTGCTACTCAGGAAAATGCTGTGGAAGTGTTCCCACGCATTCACTTCTGGAAGCCTTTGCAGGGATAAAGGCTCGTGGCTGCTGTCTAGAGTTCACTAGAGGTCCTGGTGGCAGCTCAGTGGTGACAGAAAACACACCTTTGTAATTAACACAACAAAAGTGAAATACTAGAAAAGATCAGAGTCTTGTAAAACCATTTCCTGTAATTTGTGTTCCAACTCTCTACAGCAGATAGCATTTCATTATTGACCAGGTCCTGAGATTGTTTGCTCTCTGTTTTACCCAGATGTAGTTTACTGAGGACTTTGAGAAATAAGGCTTGAAAAGGGCCTTACAGAGTTACCTAACTAGTGGATCTCAGTGCATGGCTTGTGACCAACATGTCATTCAGAAGGCCCACCACCATTTCTCACAGTTATAATAAATTAAAACAAAAAACAGACTGACAGGGAGAGTCTGAAGTTTCTGTGGTGCATTAAATCCTCTGTGTTGTTAGCTGCACATTGTCAGTGGCTGGGGAGCATCAATAATTTCTCAACTCCAACAGAAAGGGAAGGTGAGAGAACTAAGGGTCTGTGATTTTGATGGACGTAGGAACAGAATCCTGAGCTCTAATTCAAGCTCTGAAATTTAATTCTTTCTTGTGAAAGACATTAACACAATACCTGTCTTCAGGTTATACAATATTTCTCTGTGTCCTTAAGATATTAAGAGTGACTGAGTGCCGTGATTGAGAGACGGGGCACAGCTTGATGCAAGCAAAAGCCGTTTATTACAGTTACCTACATATATTTATACTTAGCAGAAGACAGCGTGTTTTAGACTGATTGGTGTTTTCAATATCAATATCGTATTACAGGCTCATTGGTCTGCATTTCGACTGAGTTTTGTAAATTGCTGTCTTAAAGGTACTTATAATACTGACTACACAGATGTTTTGTCTTCATCTCACTGTAATTTTATTTCAGTAGCAAGAGTTAGTATGTTCCATATTCCAGTGCCCCTCTTTGAGCTATCCATTCTGGGCTTTCTTTAACAATGCTGTTTTCTTACTTACTAAGTAAATGTCAACATACAAATGCTTTTTTTTTTTACCTTATTTACTTTCTCTAACTTTAATGCCATCAAGAAAAAAAAAATTCACAGTACAACAGACTGCAAAAATCAGAGTTACATCTTGTAGAAGGAAGTCAGTGGAAAAAAAATATATTTTCGTTTGCTCATAGTGAACCCACCAAAGAACTCAAGCTCGCAAGTATTGTCAGGAAAACTACTATCAGAAAATGTAACACACTGCAATCCTTCTTTTTTATCTTTGTTTCATATATCTTAGTCGCTCAGGAAAGGTGAGGTATTTTTCAGTTCAGATCCCTCATTTAATGATACGTTACTACGCTGATAGCACTGGAAATGTCTCCAGTGTTGCTAAAAAGTGTTTTATGCACTGCAAAATATCATGCGAATAATGTAACAGAAATATAGCCTGGTCTGTTAACAAACAGGGGAGAGAAAGTATCGACCTGAAAATCAGAGAGAAAATTGTTTCACGCTGCAGTCCATATCACTCGAGTACTTTAGAGTTTACGTCGCCACTTAAGCCAGATGATATGTAGCTGGCACTGTGCACCATTGGAATTATGAGCTTGAGAGAGCCCCCGGAGGGCTGACTTCTGCAGAAAATGTTCTATCTGATTTCTTTTATTTCTTCCTTTTCTTCAGGCATACTGTAGTTATCGACATCTTAGATTATAAAGCATATTGTACTACATTCAGCACTGGTATAACTGCTGATTTCAAAGGAGTTGAAGACGACAGACGAGGATTGAGCTTATTGATTTTAGTTCAGATGAAAATTGTGTCCTTATTGTCAACTTAATTCATTTATGAAAATTCTTTACTCAGCTTCTCCCTTTTCTTCTCTGCGTGGGAGAGTATTTTTTTGCTTTGACTTTTTTTTCTCCCCCTAAAATTACTTGGGTAACCTGTCATCTTCAAAGATATTTGCCTAACAGGACTTGCAAACTGGTTGCAATGAAATTTAAACCTATTTCCATGCAGGCAAGATACAGGTTAAATGCCATGCCTGGGGCACGGAGAGTACAAATTCTCACAGAGTTCTTTTTTAGCTGCTACAAGACATCACATATCATTATAATTCACAGCAGTCCTAAAACTTTCTTCATGCTTTCTCTCTAATTCTGTGTTAAACATTGCAACCAGATATAAAATGGATTAATTCTCATAGGAGAATTAATTTTAAAAGATGTTTACAATTTTAACCTAAGTGTAACAAAAAATTAAAATCTTTTACAAAGTGAAACATTAAAATATTTTAAGAAGTGAATGAGTAAATTTCCTAAATATGTTTTGTTTGAACATTTATTTTAATCAATTATTTTCATTTTGTAACTTTAATTTTTTAGAACAAAAATTATTTCCATTCAAGAACTAGAAGTTTTCATTTTGAAAATGTCAAAGTGGAACATTGCAAATATTTGAATTTTTTTTTCTAGCATTTCTGGTCAAGACATTTTTTGAAACTGGTCTTTTCCTGAAGGCATTTTCCAATTTGGTTTTTCAATGGAAAAAGTAATGTCCAAAAGCTCTTGATAATTCACTAGTTGCAGTACAGATGGCTTTGATGCTGAAGGCAAGTATTTTTTCTAGTTTCTTTTTCCAGCTTACCTGACTCTGTACGAGTTATTTTTTTGAAGTATTTGGTAATTAAAATCTTTTATGACATGAATTGAAAATGGAAATTATATTATTTGCTGATAAATAATCTATCTGAAGATGATGCCATCAAATCAGAAGTAATATTTTCAAATAAAGCTACTGATTATCTAATTTCTGATTACAGCACTGTTAAAAGTTAAAATCTCCTTACCTCAGACACACATACACTATAGACTAGAAAAACAGAGACTTTGTATTTATGACTTTTGTCCTGTACTTCAGTCTCTGCTTAGAAATGCAAAATCTAAGAGCCCCTGAGTCTATTTACCTACTTATACTCTGTTGTACAGGTACATCTAAATCCTGCACAAGACATTGGGATTTCTCTGCAATCGTTTATTATGTTATATGGACAATTTGGTCTCCTCTTTTGGTGACAAGTACTAGTAATACAAGGGTAGTACTACGTGATGTAAAAAAAGAGAGCAAATATCTAAAATTCTTGTGTGTACACTGACTGCTCCACATAATGATGTTTTTCCATCAGCTACTAAAAACAGGTTCATAGAAGGTGGCAACAAATGGTCATATTGAAAAAGTAGCAAAATCTTCAAGCAGTAACAGCAAACTGGAAAATAGACTTTAGTAGTTACAAAGTTCAAGATGGCACTTGGCCTGCAACAGTGAAAGGCATCATAGCCAAAATAAAAAGAGAACGTCTATAATTTAGTAGTAGATTTCATGAACTTTCCTATTGCAAGTTCATGTCATTAGGCAGGTAATAATAGGAAATGAGAAGCAGCAACAGTTTAAGAAAGGATGCTGAGCTTGCAAGATTGCTTTGAGAAAAAAATGAATTAGTGCAATCTCTTGTTAAAATCCTTTTCAAGTCCCCCTAGTAGACATCTACTGAGCTGTTTTTGAATGCAGCTACTATATTCGTTGCAGCCAGTTAATTGAAACTTTGATCTTGGCTCTCCCAGTCTTCCCCTCTGGCATGCTTTTGGTGTTGCAGTACATCTGCAAACTCTCTGAATTACTATCCTTCCTTCTGGTGCTTTGATGAAAGTAAAGCAAGTGAAATACAGACTCTGCAAAGTCCTTTCTAAATTATTCATGCTTTACTTACTCCATGTGTAGACACAAGAGATCTGCATTAAAGTAACAATATCTACACATAAATCCAGATTCAAGATGGTTATGTAGTCAAGTTACTTCCTCTGAGTGGCTTCCCATCATCTCCTACCCTACATCTGGTTTATCTGAGAAAAAAAACTGTTTTGTAGACCTTTAGATTGAATGAAAGATTCCAGGTTAATAGCTGTTAATGGTCTTCTGTTAGTCTACTAATAACTTCTGCTGACATCTTGGTTCAAACTGGAGGGTAAAGGCAGTAGGGGAAACAGGTTGCAGCCAAAATGGAAATTGCAGTTTGATCAATTATTCGTAATAGCAAGCAGATTACGATACCAAAGGCAAAGCAGAACCTGTTTGTAAGTGCTTAGCTTATGTTTCCCATGGTAACATCAACCAAATAAACAGGTATTAGTGAAGTTCACATTCTAGCAATAGTTGCTGTTTAAATGGTGAAATAGATTAGTCTATTCCCTTTTATTTTATCCACTACTTGTGACAAAGTTTTACTATTGTTTAATTTGATATTTCATATTCAAAAACTCTTGACCAAGTGGTTTTTATCACTAGTATTAAATATTCCATGAGATCTCCTGTTGGTTCATTACAAAGATCACTGGGTGCCTTTTTCCCAGTTCCTACAATTTGCCATTTATTCATTGCTGCAGATTTTCTTCCAATGGTCCCTTTCAGCCTCTCTTCTTATTGAGCTTGCTGCACCTACTGACATGTTATCATATTGTTTAGTTTTGTCCTGTCCATGACACTTTTTTCTACCCCATCACTTCTTCCTTTTTGGTTTAAGGCTTCAGCACCTCTTTATGGAAGGAATTCCAGAGGTGCTTTGCCAAGTCGATCTTTAAAGTTACAATTATCCATTGAATTTCTTTGTTAAAATGTTGAAACTCAAGGAAGAGACCAACTCTTCGATTTTTCACAGAGAGTACACTGTACTCTTTTTATAATCTAAATCTTCTGCCAGTTCTCCCACAGGTCAAATGACTAAAACTGGGAAGAAGGAGTTGACCTGTATTTGATGCTTTGACCTTTCAGTTCTTTCAACAGCAACTGTGTTGACATTTGTTTCGATCCCGTGTAGAAATACCAGACTGCATATCAGACTTTTAAGTGACTGACTTTTTCTGTTTCATTTTACATAACACATATGTTATGACTGAATGAGAAAAGGGATGTGTGGTTTGCACGGGGTAAGTTTCTAGACAGCTCAACTAGCTTCTTTTTGTATAACATACAGTAAGACGTGTGGGGTTTATATCATTAAACCAGCAATTATTTACACTTCATTTAAACTGAACAGACAATGAACTCTATCTCTTTCTCTAGTTATCACCAGCTTTTTCCCTGGAGCAAGGAAAGATGTCGACTTCATTGACATCTGGCTCTTAGCTTCTACTTATTACACATGCAGTCATGAACCTTTACTGCTGCAGGGTCAACATTTGTCTTGTTTATCTTCAAACTTGAGCAATGAGACTTAGATTCTTAGATTTTAAAAATCCCTCTAGTTGAATACATTCCCCTTTGACTTTAAAAACATTCAAAATTATTTATTTGAACAGAAGTGTAGAAAAAATACTCTGGGATCAAATCTTGTCAAACTCTTTCTCAGTGTAAATAGTTCAATGCTTTAATTTATATCCGTGATCTCCATCTAGTCTAAACCAGAAATGGAAGTTATTGCACATACCTTAGGTTTCTAAATGTAGCAACTGTCTGTTCTGTGAGCTGATGATCAAACTGTCTGTTTGACATCACATCACAAAAAAATTGCTGTTACTCTTTATATTCACCAGTTTACCAATCCCAGTATCCAAGGGGAGTGAAATTTATTTCTACCTGTACAAATCATGCACCAAAAAAGGGAAAAGAAACAGGTCAAGGAGAAGACACTATGTTCCTTCTCTGCTTTGGATGTTGTACAGATAATAAATCTTGGGATTTTAAGTCCTTCACGTGCCTCCTTCAGTTTAATTAATTACAAAACACTTCATTAACAGCCATTTACCCTTCCTGCAGTATGAATGCAGTACTGCTGTATAATCTTCTAGTAGCAAAACTATTTATTCTGTACCCTGTGCTTGCCAAAATATTCTTAAAATTAGGTTTTGCAGTTCTGCAGATTTATTGATCATGAAATCTCTTTTAAAATCGGAAAATTAAGGCTCTAGTAGCTTTGCTTTTCACTGTTTCATCAAGAGAAAGAAGTTGGAAATTTTTCTCATTTTAGGCATTTAAGTTTGAAGAACTAGTGAGATGCAATAAGGTCACTGGATGCACTGCTGGATGTATCACAGAATAGAAGATTAATATACCATGTCTCCTTCAAAACATTCAGGTTTCATGCATTTGTTTTATGGTAGGACTTTAGAAGTCCAAATCAGCTACTACTTTTTCAGTGGCAGTAGTCAGGGAAATGAACTTTTAAGGAGAGCCTTCTAAGAGCTAAAGGTGCAAAATCATGTAGGAAAATCCCTACCCCACTTAGTTCATTTTAAAAAAATAGGTAGAAAAAAAAACCAAATGGAGTTTTTTGGTAGAAAGGAGATTTAGGACACTTGGCTTTTGTTAGCTGTTTAAGAAGCTGCTAATTTATTCAGAGTTTATGTTCAACATCTGGTAATTGTACTCTTGCACTTGATAAAGTCTCTGTTTTGAAGTTAAACACAAGCTATTCAATTGCTTTTTAATCCCTCCACTCTTCTTGGATCTTATTAGCTAATAAAACCTTGTTTAATTTTAGCAGAAGTGACACAACCTAGTAAAATACAAGCTGTATGACAATATCCATTCTAATCCTGTAACATCAGGGAGTTCATATTTTCTGAAGTGCAGCTTCTGTCTTTAAGGCCTCTCTCTTCTAAATTCTGTTCATATCTGAAGCCACATTGTTACAGGATAGAGCTCTCTTATTTTATTTTGTTCTGTCCTTAAACTTTAAGGAAAACTAATTCAGACAGCACTCAACGGAGGAGGTAACAGATTGTTTCCTCCAGTTAAATATATATCTGTTTATGACTCGTGTTTTGTTTTTCAACAGTTCTGATTCCAAAATGAGTGGTGTAGAGAATTTTGTTTTGCTGTGGAAGTACCTTGAACTGAGAAGTGCTTTGAAATATTTTTGTGAACATTGTTTTTCATTTACTGAATTATGAAAACTGACCTGCAGGCATCCAGAGTATATTTGATAAGGGCTATAAATAACTTTTGAGCGGCTTCAAGATCAAAGGAAAGTTGTGATTTCTGGGCAAACTTAGTAAATGTGTAAAGGGAATGCAAGGAGACATGCAATCTTCAAAGGCCCTTACATACACAGGAAAACATCAGGTGAAGCAAGTTTTCAGATTCCTCTCGTTACACAACCCAGTCCTGATTTGCTGAAACTGTTGACCTTTGGCTGTCTGAACAGTGAAATATGTAATTAATTTCAAGTAGGTGTCTAAGTCCATTGAAATAAATCATGTGCAAGTGCTTTTCTGGAGCATAATAGCATTAAGTACATTTGAAATGCCTTCTGCAATTGGAGGATAGTCAGGTATTCTGATACTCTCACAGCATTTCTTTTCATATAGGTCTTAGTGCATGACACCCCTATAGGTAGGTATAGCTGTAAATAGATATTTTAGATAAATATTTTGCCATCATTAGAATTAAAAACAAAGTGTCATTACATTCCTTATTCATAGCATGCTCAGTTATATCACAAGCATATGGATATCAAAGTTGAGTCTCAAAGTGTCAGTAAAGTAAGATGAACCACGCTGGGGAGGGCAGATGGTTTCGCTGTTGCAATGAAAGTCTAAGTCCCCAGGATCTTGTGATGTGGCATAAAGGAAAGGTGATGGTTTGTTTTGAAGTAATACTGAATATTTTGCTTATCTGGGATGGGATGAAACTCTGGGACTTGAATATCCCATCTGTTATTTCCCCATCCACTTCTATGGAATGTGTGAGTATTTTTGTGTTCTTGTTTCACTGACAACTACAAATAACTCTGAACTCTTAAAAAAAGACAGCTTTTAAGACAGCTATTGAAGCTTATTTTGGTGCAGCAGTACAAACTGTACTGTAGTTCTTCAGGCACTGTGAATGATCTAACGAATATTTTTGCTGTTTAAGGTGAGTTTGGAGAAGTATGCAGTGGACGTCTGAAGACACCAGGAAAAAGAGAGATACCTGTTGCAATTAAAACATTAAAAGGCGGCTATGTGGACAGGCAGAGAAGAGATTTCCTGAGAGAGGCTAGTATCATGGGACAATTTGATCACCCAAATATAATTCGTCTTGAAGGAGTTGTTACAAAAAGTAAGTTACTGTTAATAGCTTTTTGGGTTTTTACTCATTCTGTGTCATTTAGTATCAAAATTAATCATTACTTCCACATTCACTATGGCTTGAAATTCTCAGAAATTGTCCAAATCATAAAGTGCAGCAGAAACTGCAGAGTTTGGGACCATAATAGGAAATTCATAGCCTATCTTTTTTTCAATTAGAAATGGGGGGGGTTTATTTTTACTAAAAATCCTCCTCATTCAAATAAAGGCTTTACAGGTTCTTATGAAACAGCACTGTAGGGTTTGCTTATAGACAAGTCGAATACAGTAGAGAAAACCATAAATGTAACTGAGTTAACAATGAAGTCAAATTGTCATGTCAGGTAGCAGCTATAGTCTTTTTTTCCCTCAAGCACTCACTTTTTATTTAGTTGTGTTCTACAGATATTAGTACCAGAAGAGATCAATTTCCTATTTTAAGAAATAAAATGTAAACTCTTTAAAACTTCTTGTACACTTGCAAATGATTCACTTAAATTCCAGAATAATCTATGAAATGTCTGACTCTACACCTATTGTAGCTGTGGAGGGATATCTCTTGCCTCTGAAATGGGGCATTTTTAGTAGGGTTATGGGCCTTTCTGAAATGCTGAAATATCTAGTTATAATTTAAGTATTAAGTAAAAGTCTTATTAACATGCATGTAGTTTCTTTAATGCCAACTTTTGCAATAATGAATTTAAAAACTTGTAAGGTATACTCTTCTCAAAATTAATCATTGCCTTAACTGAGCTGTGTCATTTACTGATTTGCAGTACTTATTTTTTTTTTTTAAATCAAGTGTTATGACATAAACCAATGATGTCCTCTTACCATCACATTAAATACAATAAGTATGTTATGAATATTTCCTGTTTTCACCTTGTTGCAATATCAAAAGCTATATTTGGAAAACACAATGTATTAGAACAAAGAGGAAATTATAGCTCCAGAACTCATGTCACTGAAATGGAATTTCAGTAGGTTTATGGGATGACCTTGTTCAAATCTGTCTCTCTGTGGTTCTAAATTAAGATGAAAAGGGTCTTTTTTTTTTTTTCACACAGTATTGCAAGGATAAATTTGTTATTATTTAGGAATGTTTGGTTACTAGACTAACAGAATCCATTACGTTGCAGACTTCTGGAAAGATATGGTTTGGTCTCCTCCTTTGCTCTCCTGTCAGTAACTGCTCTGCTGACAGCAAACAAGAACATGAGTTAATACTGGTTGAGCAGCATTGGAGATCTTTGTCAAGCGATGTAAATATGTAGGAACTTAATTGAATGTAGCTCCTTGTTTGATAATTACCAGTATTGCAGCAATTACATTCCACCAGTCTTCACCAACACAAGCAGTTTATGAGCCAGTATCACAGGTATGACTGGGATCCATGTGGTGGACCTAGTAGTGTATGTCTCATTTCTGAAAACGGCTAATGGCTGTGGTTTACAAACATTGTTTAAATCCAGATAGCTGGTGCACACCGAGTCCAATGTAACATCCTTGGCAATGGTGTGGTTGTTTAATCTTTGCCACATTTATAAATTTTCTGTCCGTTATGTCTCATGATCAGTCTAGAGAAAAATGAAGATTGCCTTTAGAAAACAGAATCAAACCAATAAATCAGTGCTCCAACATTAGTGTATCTGTTCCTGATCTACAGGAAAAGTAATTATAGACAACCTTAAGTCAAGAAAATATCACTAGCTGTTCTGTTTTTCTCTAAGGAGTCAAGAAAATTTATTATTGTTTTTGGAATGTTTGCTTAGAGGTAATGTAAAAATAGTAGGTATTTTTACTGTCCTGTAAAAATATACATCTCCCTCTGAGATAATAATATAATAATAATAAGTAGAGAAAGTTTGAAAGAAAATATTTTTGGGTCAGGCAGGTTTAAAAAAAAAAATAAAACAATTATGCAGCAATAATTATAGAATGAAAAAAATACATGAGTTATCAACAAATTTCACCCTAAGGCATGGAAAGTACAAGTTCTATAAAGTGTAAAGGACGAAGTTGTGCAGTACTGCTCTGCTGCAGGGAAGAAGCTGGGAGGCAGGCTGAGCAAAGGACACATGCACTCTGCGATGCTTCTCTTTTATCAGTTTATCTTTAGGATGTTACCTTGCTGTTATACTGCCCCATCTGTGGTATTTAGAGAATAACATGGCTTCAGCTGGGAGCAGAACAGTTACCTTGCATTTTACAGAATCCTAAATCTAGGATGGCACAAGCCAAGATGGGACAGAAATTTCCTATAACTCCTGTAAAAGTGAGACAGAACATTGTCCTAGCCAAGTTATTTACGTAATGATAGCATTATTAAAAGGTGTTTTGTGTTAAAACTTAGATTAATAACAGCAGAAACTATTTATCTGATGTTCATTACAGTTCTGCACACTGGATGCAGTAAATTTGATCAATAGACATGTAATGCTGTTCTTAGCACATACTTTCCCCTTTGTAACCATTAGGCATTAACTTCTAGCAGTTGCTGATATATATTGCACCAGTTTGTAAGCAGTACTTTCCATTACAGTGTCATTGACTATTGAACAAAAAAGAAAAAGGATTTGATTGTAATAAGCAGAAGTGCTCTACCAAGTCAATAGCTATTGACTTGGGCAATAACAAATTTGCCTGTTCATTACAAATGAGATCTTTTATCTGGTGCTACCAGCTAAGCAGATGTTAACTTTTAAATGATACTGTTTTCAAAATTGCTATGGAATATATACTGTACAGGATGAAAAAATGCTAAACTAAGCCTGCTAAGAAGTAGGTATGAAAGAGAGTTTTAATCCCCTTTTCTGATTGCCTCATTTCTCATTTGTCCTAACTGCAGTCCCTAATCACAGAGAGCAGCAGGCAGAACAGTTGCTGTAGCACAAGCTTTCTGTTAGCAGAGAGTTCATTTCAAGGGCACTTTGCTGGGGCAAGGCAAATACGCTAGCACAGAATCTGGATCCGATAGTTCACTTATATTACTAATCAGAAGTCACAAGGGAAACTTAATTCCTGTTTGGTTTGTTTTAGCAACACCGTTCCTTGTCTAGTTTGCCACAAAAGGCTGCTTATTGCCTTGCAAATTGATGAGAGATGCTTAGGCACTTTATAAAAACATCCACGTTTGCCTTTCAGGTCATTTTAGCACAATGATAATTTTGGGAGCTCTTCTTGGATGTGTCAGGGCATCCAAAATATCCAAAATAAAGAGCTGCAAGTTAGAGCTGCAGACATGACTGCTGTAACACAGCCAAAACTAAGCTTTCTTGCAAAATAGGTTACCCTTCATGAACTGGTATTTGTAGAACATAATTAATACTGGTAGTTCTGAGTTATTTTTACACATGCATGCATGTGGCTAATTCAGATAACACATACAAACTACCATGCTTTCCGTTTGTTGAAGGCTGCTGCCAAAAATTAAGAATACACAATACTTAATTCTCAATGGCACATACGTAAAAAAATTAGCTGTTAAACCTCTGGAATTTTGGGTTTTTTTCATTCATTACAAGGTGATTGCAAAAATGAAAGGGCTGTTATGGTTTCCTGAAGTTCAAATCAGTCACATTTTTGTGTTCTGCTTTTCTGTTTTGCAGCTAGCAAGCTATACACTATAACTGTAACTCTGCTGTAACATCTTCCACAGAACAATAAGCAATGAAGAAAAAGCATATTGTCAAAAAGCTATCATCTTGTTAGCAGCAGCTTATTCTGACCATGATACACGAACATTACTAAACTTTTCTAATTCTACTCTTATAAGTTATGCCTGAGAAACAGGATTTCACTTTCTTCAGGATCCTTTGCCTTCAGATAAATGTCTGTGTTCAGACATGTAGGAACTGACATTCAAAGATGTTTAGATGCTTTGATGTGAGATGTGGTTCTAGTAGGAAAATAGGTGACAACAATCATTCTTACTGACAGCCATAAAAAGATAGTCTTGTAGATAAGAAATAGCCAGATTTTTTTTTTCTTTTTAAGGAAAAGCATGGTCATCAATTTGTATAATTAGCATAATTATTAACTCCCAAGTGATTGCATTTCCGTAGATCTTCTGAATAAGTCATGCAATTTCTTCCTCCGCCATTGAAGTAGAGAAGAATATGGTACGCTAAGTTCAAAGGCAAGACAGTTATAGTGTGTAGGTGATATATGAAGGGTTGGGGCTTTTTTTAACAACTGTAACCAGAAGATTTAATGAACAGAAGGAGACATTGCACTGTGCTGACAGGTTTGCTGCAACAACGTGGCTGATCTGTTGCCTGTGTAGGAAAACTATATGAGCAATGAGAACAATTATAAATTACAATTGCAACTGCAGTTGACAGGTAAAGGAGTGAGGGGGTTAAAGAGTGTATATAAAGCAATCAATAATCTTGATTCACAAGCTGTGTTTGGTTGATTTATTTTGATAACTGTACATTCATTTCTTATTCTTTATATGTGTATTGGTTAAGTCCTGTAGCAACTTGGTTGTTGCTAAATCTTTGCTGAGGAGTGAGGTGCTCTTATTGAAATGAATACCAAGACTTGCTGAGTTTGAGAATAATTGATAATGATAGCTAAGAGAAGCTGTGCTGTATTTTAGAGCCTAGCAAAGTTAGATTATATCAGAAGCATTATTTGGTAAGCTTCAACCTAATTGTTAAATATTACAGTACTCTCAAAATTGAATCAGGGTTGTGTCCTTTTAAAAGGCAAATTAAATAAATGCTTAACTTCGTACTATTTTTCAACAGTAGATCATTCTCTTGTAATTCACAGAATATACAGCATTGGGCTGTGAAAGACACTGAGACGTCATCTGGTTCATCTTCCTGCCCCAAGGCAGTATTAATTATATTTAAACTAGTCTGGATGGATGGTTGCCTATCCAATTCTCAGAAACCTCTCCTAGTGAAGATTTCACAAGCCTCCCTGGGCAATCTGTTGAGTGTTTAAGTATCCTCATATTTAACCTTCCTAGTGTTAAATTGA